CCACTCCTACCATGGGATTGTAAAGGTATAAATGACTTCACAAAGGACAAGGATCTGGGAATCAGGTCCAATGTCTGTAAAGTGCTTGGTGCTGTAAAATTACAAAGCATTATGATACATTTACTAAATCTCACTTCTTTACTTTTTAAATGATCTTTTTCTCCATATTAATACTGCAAAGAAAAGAGAGTCTGCAGCCCTCAGAGGGTGCAAAGTTTTTCCCCTCAGGACTTTCTCCAGAACACAGTAGGAGAGGAAAGGTTTTAGTAACAGGCTGGATTGAGAGGGCTTTCATCAATATGATCATTATGCACTGCCATTTCATTGGCTCCCTTTCCTTAATGGAATTCCTCACTATCTTCTGCCCATGTAAGCAAGGCACAATATTATCTCTGTTGCAACAGGATAGAAAACCATTACATGCTAACCCTGCCCAACAGATAAACAGCTCCAGCTTCTGTTGGCCTAAGATGATATTAAGGACCACACTTGGCACTGACTTCTCTAAGGCTACGTCTACGCTGCAGGTATTTGTCGGCAAGAGTATGCTAATGAAGTGCTCATTAGCATTTGTTGTGCTGTCATTTGCATATCTTTGCTGATGCTTTTTGTGCAAGAGGTTTTTGCACAAAAACAAGCAGTGTAGACGGGTCCATTACATGCAAAAAAACCCCTTTTGCGCAAATCCCTTATGCCTCAAAAAAGGAGGTATACAGGATCTTGCGCAAAAGGGTTTTTCTGCGCAAAATGGACCCGTTTACAATGCTTGTTTTTTGTGCAAAACCTCTTTGTGCAAAAAGCATCAGCAGAGATATGCAAATGACAGCACAACAAATGCTAATGAGCACTTAATTAGCATACTCTTGCTGACAAATACCTGCAGTGTAGACATAGCCTAAGATGCCTGTAGGGCACTGAGAATCTAAGTGGAAGCCAAATTCTTCACTAAGTTCTCAATTCCCTGAGTAGGACTCAAAAGTCTCTAGACTAATCTGCTCAAGCCTCAGCTTAGTTCAAAAAATCCCACCAAATCATAAACTGAAAGAATGTGCCTGAAAAAAAAAGAGCTAACCAGTAACATCAGAAAACAGAGAGTGATGTAATCATAGTTTATAAGTTTCATAAAGCCAAGTGAGATACAGAGAGGGAAAACTTATCTATGTGTAAATCATGACCTGTGAACTTCTGGACAGCATGAAAAATAAACTTTATTTTAATGTTTAAAAAAGCAAAGCATCCTATGCACAAGAAACCTCCCTAACCCCTCATTACCTCTATTTACATGCATTATTTGCAAATAAAAGAAACACGCAGAAAGCAAGTATTTTTTCATTCTTTAGAAATGGAAGTAATTGGACCAAATTCTCTGATGATGTAAATGGGTACAACTCCATTGACTTTAGTGGAATTTCAATGGCTTAAATTAGCAGAAAATTTGTCCCATTAAATCTGACACCACATTGCAGGGTGACTAAAAGTCACACAATTGGCTACATCTAACCCCTTCTGGATTTTCATTGCCCGTGCTGGCAACCGATTCAAGTTAATGTACCATCTAAATACCAAGTAATAAATCTCCCATCCAAATCACAGCATGCCAAATTGCAAATATTTGTTTTCAAATTATGCTTTTGATATTACACCATATCAAAGTCTGGTTTAACTTTACATACCATGAGCAATCCCACTGAAGTCACATTTGCAAAGGGGCATAAACCCCCTGTGGAATTGGGGCCTGTAAATCTGTATCCATTCCCATCCTTGAGAACATGGCTGCTGGATGTGCTAGAAGCTTACTTAAAGGAAGAGACTTTTCTCCTATCTGACTAAGGGTATGTCTGAACAGCGGCGCTATTTTGGGGTAACATCCGTCATCCTGAAATAGCATTCTGTGCATCTTAAAAAAAATGGCCCGTTATTTCAAAATACATTCAAAATAATGGACTTCTTATTCCGGCTTCCTGTAAAACTCATTGCACGAGGATTAAGTAAGATGCAGGAATAGTGATTTATTTCAAAATTAGCACTGAACAGGCAGCACCAAATTTCAAAATAAGCCATGCAATTCACGTAGCTTATTTCGAGGTACGCACTACTGCGTAGTCGTACCGTAACTGTATAGCTTTCTTAAAAAGCTCTCTCCCTTTGAATGGAATAGTTGGTCAGGTGTCAGAACATGCATGATGTGTGGTACCCATAGGTCTGGATGAAAGTGATTCCTTGTGCACTTGAGACACCAATTTTTTTTTATATTTGAACAACTGGCATTTTGAGGTTCCTAGCATCTTATACCTGAAATGACCAACAAATGCTGTTCATGTTTAGGATTGCCTGGTGTCTGGTTTTGAACCGGACAGTCCAGTATTTGAGCTTTCTGTTTGGGAAACAAATTGAGAAAATATAAATGAGGAAATATAAATGTCCAGTATTTTCTAAATAAGATGTAATGTAGATTGTGATGTAATGTCAAGTGTGTCCAGTATTTTTGTAGAAACCATCTGGCAACCCTATTAAGGTTTGAAATGCCTGGCATCATAACTGTAATCAGTGGAAGCACTTAGTTTTGATGAACTTTAAAAACAACAAATAGTCTGGTAGCACTTTATAGACTAACAAAACATGTAGATGGTATCATGAGCTTTCATGGGCACACTTCTTCAGATGACCGGAGTGTTGGATGGTCTAGCACCAATATAAATGTGTGTGTGGGGGGGAGGAGAGAATGAGAGGCAATGGGTATATAGATATCAAAGGGAAAACCGAGCTGGTACGTAATGAGCAAAACTGATAGTATATAAGCACCTAAAAACCGGATAGTTAAAGGAAGCAAATAAGGACCCTTAGTTAGCCAAGAGTACTAACAACAGAATCCTTTCTGAAGAATTTTTTGAGGAAGAGTACTAACACCACTGTCTCTTTTTCCTCCCCCCGCCCCATTCTCCCCTATTTATTTTGGTTCTGTGCCCACAAAAGCTCATGATACCATCTACATGTTTTGTTAGTCTATAAAGTGCGACCAGACTATTTGTTGTTTTTAAAGTTTATCCTGTACAGACTAACTTGGCTACCCCTCTGAAACTTTAGTTTTGATGGTTAATCCTTAGGAATTTGAAGCTGCCAAATTTCATGTTTAAAACTTGTAAATTACTTCTCAAATTGGGCGCACCTGTTAAGAACATATATAAGTCCTACTTCACTTTTAAAAAAATATGAAGTGAGTTATCAAGAGATGAAGTTTCACTGTTGGAAATGGGATTGAGGAGGATATGTGTAGGATTAGGTACAAGTAAGTGGCGTGACAGCTGATTGGTTCAAAGGTGTCAGAATTTCTTAAGAAAGCAACCCTTTCAATGGAAAAGTCCAACTTTGGTGATCTCTCCATGTAGCAGAGCCATATGGTTAAACAGAGTTATGATTATATAAAAAAGTGCAGAGCAAAAAAAATCACTATACAAATTTTCAGCACTTTTGTTTTAATTTTGTGTAGTTGTACACATATTTACACATGCACTCTGTTTTGTCTTCATTTCAAGCCAAATTCTGAGGTGCCATGGATAGTGAGGCAAGGCACAGAATAGGCAAGTCAGTGAGTTTCTAGTAGTGCATACATGTGCTAATGCCTCAAACCTGAGGAAAGAGGAGGAACAACAAGCTGTAAACTTAGGCTTTGTTCTGCAGCTCTGGCTTCTCAGACACTGGAGGAAACAGAGAGGAAGTACGAGTATTCTACTCACAGCCATGCTATGCTTTCCTCAAACTGCAGAATGCTCTGCTAATAAGAGACAGCATATTCCGGCTCAAAGCAGAACTGAATCATATGGACACCAATAAACAATTGGGTCAAGGAAAGCTCTTGTAGCAGAGGATGGGTGCTGTGGGTTCAATGCTACCTCAGTGACAGTGTTGGTGACCTCTCCACATAGCAGAGTGCCAGGAAAGATCTCTATAAATGGTTCTGCCTGTGAGTGCAAGTGGTGTTTGGGCTGTGCCTGCACCTGGATTCACACAGAACGTAGTTCTACCATCAGCAACTTCCCCATCTACAAGTACCATTTGACCCAGAATTCCAATGTAAGATTAGCCTAACTTCTTGCCATAAGCTTCAGTTGTTTTCATCCTTATGTGCGTTTTTTATGCATACCGGAAGTAGAAATTTGGCTCCCAAATACAGGCAGTCCCCGAGTTAAGCGGATCCGACTTATGTCGGATCCGCACTTACGAACCGGGCTTTTCTCGCCCCGGAGGATGCGGGCGGCGGGACCGCCCAGACGCGCCGAGGTCCCGCCGCCCTTGTCCTCCGGGGCGGGAAAAGCTGCTCCGCGTCTCCCTGGTCTGCTGGGAGGGCCAGCAGACCAGGGAGATGCGGAGCAAAGCCGCGGAGGACCCGGGCAGGACCGCAGTGCGTCTGGGCGCTACCGCCGCCCGGGTCCTCCATGGGGGCTAGTGCGCCCCTCCCCCCCCTCCCAGCAGACCAGGCTTTTCTCGGGACTCCTGGGGCAGAGCAGCCGGGGCGCTGCCGGTTGGTCCCGCAGTGCCGCTCCTTGGCGCTACTGGACCAACTCAGCAGCATCCCAGTTGCTCTGCCCCAGGCGTCCCCAAGTCAGCCGCTGCTGAAACTGACCAGCGGCTGACTACAGGAAGCCCGAGGCAGAGTTGCTCTGCCCCGGGCTTCCTGGAATCAGCCGCTGATCAGTTTCAGCAGCAGCTGACTTGGGGACACCTGGGGTACAGCCCCTGGGGTGCTGACGGGTTGGTCCCCGCAGTACTGAGGTGCAGCGCTGCGGAGACCTACCCAGCAGCACCCCAGCTGCTCTGTCCCAGGCGTCCAGATTCAGCCGCTGTTGAAACTGATCAGCAGCTGATTCCAGGAAGCCCGGGGCAGAGAAACTCTGCCTTGGGCTTCCTGTAGTCAGCCGCTGGTCAGTTTCAGCAGTGGCTGAATCTGGATGCCAGTTCCGACTTAAGTACAAATTCGACTTAAGTACAAACCTACAGTCCCTATCTTGTACGTAACCCGGGGACTGCCTGTACTGGTCAACATGCAAGATGAAAATTTTATTTCAAAAGAATCTCGAGAGGCCCTTTAGGAGCCAGATGTTAAATGTATGCAACATTTCAACTAATTTGGCTTAAAAAGAAAGGAAGAAAAACCATCCCAGCCAAAAGGCTAGCTTACTAGAAATAGGGAGACTACATGCAAATTTGTTTGAGAAGACCTTGAGAAAATTGACTTTCCTTGTATGTAAGACTTTCCTTTTCCCCCTCCCACATGCTTTATGATTACCATTACAGAGAAATATACATTTGTACAAATTCAGAGAGGATTTTTAAGAGCATCAAGACTAGGTCAATAAAATAATTAATGGTCGTAGACCAATTCCAATGCAACAGAGCCTCTGTGCTCTAGCAGTCCAGTACCCTGTCATGTATTCTGCTTAGGGACAGCCAGAAGGCTTCCTACAGAAAAAATGCCTTCCATTGTAACCCCTATTTTCAGTACTATAGGTTATATTCTGAAGTTTTCTTCCTTGCATACCTATCTTGGCATTTGGATACAGTAAAATGGGGAAGGACAGAAACAGTAACAGAAGAGGAGTTGGTTTTGTTTGCCTATTGTTTATTATAGGGAGGATGGATAATAGTTAACAATTTAAAATTGAGTTAATATTTTAACTTCTACATACAGAGCTTCTTACAAATTCTTGCTTTAAAAATTGTACCATTTCCCCAATGTAAGAGATTTGAGTAGTGATGAACTTGTTTTTAATAATAAATATCAGAAATTTATCTGGGAACCTGCAGACCAGGTCTCATGGCCTAAACAGAGAAGCAGAAGTTTAGAGATCTACACTGTAGTCCCAGCTCTGCCTCATATTCACTGTGAGCTGGCACAAATGATAATTCTCTATGCCTCAGTATCCACATCTTAGCAGAAAAGGAATAATAATTATTGCCATGCTTTCCTCACAGAAGGAAAGATTCATCTATGTGAAGCCTTTGTCTTCTTATAGCTGTTTTGGGCAGAGCAACTCTGTAACTTAGACTGACAAGAGCCAGCAATATTGGAGGAATGCCAGACAACCTACCTCTATCATTAATATTAGACAGTGGCCTGCAAACAATACCATTTGTGTACATACAGTATATGCTTACACAGACATGTAGTCTACACTCATTATAGTACTAAGACACAAGATCAACTTATAGTTAGACATTCCCAGAATATTATATACTTACAACGTATTTGGTGTAACAATGTACTTTAACTGAACATTCTTTCTCCTGAGGAAGTGTGCCTGTTTTTTATTTACCTGACTGGCATCGAATAAGCATAGCATTTGCAAAAGAAGGATTACGTTCTACAGTATGTTCCTTTTCACCATAACACCATACAATCATTTTGAGTGTTACAAGAGTTAGCACCATGGGTTTAATGCAGGTGGGAAAAAAGGTAGAATAGCCTTATATCAGATGGATTATCTTAGGCCATGAGATGGTCTTTGTTTCATATAAATATGTTTTAAAAAAGTTTTTCTCCCACTTAATCACATCCAGAATACCATTCCGAGTTTGCATTAAAAGAGACAGATGATAATTCTACAAAACAGGTGAAAATATATTTTTTCAGGAAAGCTTTTTTCCCCTCCAATTAGCATTAACTGACATTTATATTACAGGATTCTGTATTTCAAAAATTAAAGTTATTTAATGCTAAATGTTCTTTTCAGCAGATGAAGAGGTAGGTATATTTTCACAATATAAGAAAAATTGTAGCAGACAATTAAAACAAGGAGAGTCTGGTAACTCAACAAACTGTTCTAGCAGCATATAAACATAACTGTCTTGATATATCCCTAATTAATGAGAGAAAATGTATTTTTCTGATCAGAACAGGCAACATCATAATTTAGAATTTAATAAATTTCTGTCAAAAACAGAAATACTCAAAAGCTACCTTTTTCCACATAGAAATGTGGTCTTCAACAAATCAGTGGCATCATTGTTAATATTAACCTTTAGACTGCTAAAACTGCAATTCTTTGTTCTATTTACCAGTGCCAGTGGTCTGAAAGGTTTCACAGAGATCATCAAATTCTTGATAATTATATAATTGTAACAGAAATTTATCTTGAAGCATTTTTGTTAAAACAATCTTCATGAATAATGAAAATATCTGTGTTCTAGCTCTTCGGTAAACTAAGGGTTAATTAGTACAGAGTGTTTTTTTTCCTTTTTCTTTTTAAGCCAAACTGGAGGTTCCCCACTGCCAGCAATGGCTAAGGCCTGGATAAGTTACTCTCCTTTTGCTTTTTCCTTGTTCTGCCTTTTTCCATGTTCCACCATTAGATTGTTTGCTGGTCTGTTAACACCATTTGCAACAGCTCCATTCACTATTTTGCCATTCTGAATGGATTCCTTGGGTATTTTATATGTCCGATAGTAGAAGTTACCGAACAAGAAAATAAAGGTGATAGCATAGATCATTACACCCCAGTGCATCCATTTAGGGAAGGGACAGTCGATATAAATAGACATGGCTGTGTGGCCCAGAGTCACATGGAACTGAATCTAAAAAAAAAAAAAAATATTGTATATTAAAACATTTCATGTTAGGTTAGGTATGACTTTTACTGAAAATACAATATTTATTATAAAAAAATAAAGTATATTGTGAAACACACAATTCATGGCTTACATAAGTAATATATACATATATTTGCAATGTTTCTTTACACTAACAAATGCAAAGTGTAGTAAAATATATTTTTTCAGTATTTTAAATTTCAGAAGGAAGTTACTAGAAATTAAAATGCTGTTCCTTTACAGTATCTGGCAGAGATCATCAAAAGCTTCACAGCAACTATATAAATCTCAGTACTCTAGTTACTAGTTTTCTCTGTTACATTCACATTTGCAGTATGTTGCACAGACAGGAGAACAAACATGTACTGAAGTGCAAGATGATAATGCAGAAATCACTCATGTACTAAAAACTATTGCAGCTGCAGGACATCACTCTTGGTGGGAAACACTATTAGAGTGGTCACCTTCTCAATCTGCTGGCATGCAAAGTCAAATAAGGCCCTTGTTAGTAATACCCAGGAGGCAAGCCCAAACTCAGCAAATCTGAAGTATAAGATTCCTGGAATAGTAATGATGGCTTTAGTAAAAGCATCATTAAGGAGGGGAAAGGATACACTACCTTTTTCTGTAGCCATATTGGAAGGCCTGTAGCCATATATGAAGGCCTAAAACCTAGGGCCTTCATCTATAGCAAGACTGAAAGAGCAGCAGCCATTAACTGTAAAGCAGGGAGTCACATGCTCACATTCTGTTACAGTATGTTATGATTGGCTAGTAAAATTTAAGTAAAATAATTGGTTAAGTTAGAGCTAAGCAGGGCTCAAGTTTCAATATATAAACTGGGGCCCAAAAGGAATTTCTTTGGGAACCAGCTCCAGGGCACAACTCCAAGGTCAGAGTTGCCAGACCTCAAACCTGTGACAATGACACCATGCAGAAACTGGAGTCCCCCAGATGGACCTGATCCTGACTGGACATCAAAAAAAGTTCATCTGTCTCATGGGGAGTGGTGAGTACTGTATGTGTAATGTGTGTATTCTGTTTTTGATTATTGTTAATAGAGATTAAGTAGAATATTACTCCAGAAGTAATGATTTTTTTCATGCACTGGATTCCGACTTCTGAGGCTGAGAGAATGGGATTGTCTCTGTGCAATGGCTTTCCCACTATAATAATATTTATCACGCACAGGTTATGTTGTACAAAAAAAAGAAGTTGGTAATGGGAGCATGGAACGTCCGTACACTCATGGACCTTGAGGACACAGTAATACCTCATCGGAGAACAGCCTTAGTCACTAAAGAGTTTTCACGCTATGGTATTGATATTGCTGCCTTGAGTGAAACCAGGCTTGCTGAAGAAGGATTTCTCACTGGCTATGTCTAGACTGGCATGGTTTTCCGGAAATGCTTTTAACGGAAAAGTTTTCCGTTAAAAGCATTTTCGGAACTGAGCATCTAGATTGGCACAGACGCTTTTCCGCAAAAGCACTTTTTGCGGAAAGGCATCCGTGCCAATCTAGACACGCTTTTCCGGAAAAAAGCCCCGATCGCCATTTTTGCGATCGGGGCTTTTTTGCGGAAAACAAATCTCAGCTGTCTACACTGGCTCTTTTGCGCAAAAGTTTTGTGCAAAAGGACTTTTGCCCGAACGGGAGCAGCATAGTATTTCCGCAAGAACACTGATAATCTTACATGAGGAAATTCAAGCGGACAGTGTAGACAGCTGGCAAGTTTTTCCAGAAAAGCGGCTGATTTTCCAGAAAAACTGGCCAGTATAGACACAGCCACTGAGTATAGTGGTTATACCTTCTTCTGGAAAGGGAAATCGCAGAATGAGGATAGGGTTAATGGATCGGCCTGGCCGTTAAGACTAGTCTGATGAAACAACTTTCGGACATGCCTGTTGGTATTAACGAGAGGCTCATGAAGCTACGCCTACCCCTTAGTCACAAGCGGCAAGCCATAGTCATCAGTGCATATGCTCCCACCATGAACGGCACAGAGGAGACAACTGAACAGTTCTATATCGATCTCAGTTCCTTTCTGTGTTCAGTGCCAGCCAACAATATTGTTGGGAGACTTCAATGCCTGAGTTGGCTGTGACCACAGTTGATCAGAGGGAGTGTTAGGCAAACATGGTGTTGGTAAGATGAACAGCAACGGCTTATTGCTGTTGAGCAAATATGCAGAATATGACCTCCTCATTACAAACACAGTGTTCAGGATGGCAAAGAAATACAAGACTACCTGGATGCACCCTAGATTGAAACAATAGCACATGATAGATTATATCATTGTTCATCAGCGTGATATTCAGGATGTCCTTATCACCAGAGCCATGCAGAGTGCTGGACTGACCATAGGCTTGTCCGCACTATTTTCAAAATACACATTGCTCAGCATCACACAAAGCTCATTCGAACAACCTTTAACATTGCCAGACTCCAGCAGCCGTCTCGTTTGCGCAAGTTCCAGTCAAGCCTTGATGAAAAGTTGACTGCCAACAGACCACTGATTGGAGGTCCAATTCAGAAGTGGAGCCAGTTTAGAGAAATGGTGATAGAGACAGCGAAGTTAGTGCTGCGTCCCAAGAAATGCAATCATCAAGACTGGTTTGATGAGAATAACAGTGCTATTGAGGACCTGCTTGCCAAGAAAAACAAGGCATTTACGGAGTGGCAGAATGACCCAGGCTCCATCTCTAAGAAAGACAGGTTTAAGTTTCTCCAGGTCCAGGCTCAGCGAGAAATCCGCAAAATGCACAATCAGTGGTGGGAGAAGAGCTGAAGAAGTGCAACACTATGCTGACTTAAAAAACTCAAGGAGTTCTTCAGCTCCATCAAGTCAGTCTTTGGTCCTTCCAAGTCTGGCTTTGCCCCCTTGTTGTCTGCAGATGGAACTACATTGATTATGGATAAGGCTGGTATTAATAACCGATGGAAAGAGTATTTCAGTCAGCTCCTGAATTGTCCATCATCAGTCCATTAGTCAGCACTAGAACAGATTCCTCAAAAGCCAACTCTTGAAGACCTGGGAGATCCTCCATTTATTGACAAAGCTAGAAAGGCCATCAGGCAAATGAGTTGCGGCAAGGCATCTGGCAAGGATGGAATTCCCGCGTAACTGTACAAGGCATTTAATGAGGAGTCACTTAAGGTTTTTCATAGTGTCTTGACCAGTATTTGGGAAGAGGAAGAAATGCCATCTGACCTCTGTGATGCCGTGATAGTTGCTCTATACAAGAATAAGGGTGCAAGAGCCGATTGCGGGAACTACAGAGTATCTCGCTGCTTTCTGTTGTCGGGAAAATCTTCGCCCGCATCATCCTGAACAGGCTGATTTCGACAGTTTCAGAAGTGAGTCTCCCTGAGTCACAATGTGGTTTCTGCCCTAACTGCAGTACTGTCGATATGATCTTCGTAATGAGACAGGTGCAAGAGAAGTGCCTAGAGCAGAATATGAACCTCTACTCTGTCTTCGTTAATCTGACGAAGGCATTCGACACGGTTAACAGAGATGCACTGTGGATCATCCTCAGGAAGCTGGGTTGCCCAATGAAGTTCATCTCACTCATCAAGCTGTTTCATGACGACATGACAGGAGAGGTACTCTCAGACTGTGTGTCATCTGAGAAATTCAACATCTCGAATGGCATGAATCAGGGCTGTGTACTCGCCCCTGGGCTTTTTAACCTGTTCTTTGCTCAAGTCCTCATGCATGCTGTCAGAGACTTAGATCTTGGTATTTACATCAGATACCGTTTGGATGGTTCACTGTTTGATTTGAGACTCCTTACAGCAAAGACCAAGACACTGGAGAGGTTTATCACCGAAGCGCTGTTTGCTGATGACTGCGCCCTTATGGCACACCAAGAGAACCACCTGCAGACCATCATTGACAGATTATCTGAAGCATCTAAACTATTTGTTCTCACAATTAGCCTCGGAAAGACAGAAGTCCTCTTCCAGCCTGCACCAAAGAGTGCTCCTTCACAGCCATGTATCACTATTGAGGGTACACAACTGAAGGTACTGGACAGCTTTAAGTACCTGGGCAGCACAATATCAAGTGATGGATCCCTTGACAAAGAGATTACAGCGAGGATCCAGAAAGCCAGTCAGGCACTTGGGAGATTACGTATTAAAGTTCTTCAGCACAAAGATATTCACCTGTCAACTAAACTCAAGGTATATAATGCCATGGTCCTCACTTCTCTCCTGTATGGCTGTGAAATGTGGACCCTGTACCATAGGCACATTAAGCGGATGGAGCAGTTCCACATGCGCTCCCTACGATCAATCATGCGAGTACGCTGGCAGGACCGAATTACTAATCAAGAAGTGCTTGATAGAGCTAGTTCTACAAGCATCGAAGCCAAGATCCTCTAGATCCAGCTTCGATGGTCTGGCCACATTCTCCGCATGGATGAAAGCAGGATCCCGAGGCAGCTGTTTTACATCCAGCTTCGATGGTCTGGCCATGTTCTCCGCATGGACGAAAGCAGGATCCCGAGGCAGCTTTTCTACGGGAGCTGGTACGTGGTAGTTGCAAACAGGGACACCCGAGGAAGAGGTATAAGGATAACCTGAAGACCAACTTGCAGTGGACAGGCCTTCAACCTAGACAGTTTGAACTAGCTGCTGCACACAGAACTAATTGGCGTTCCCTTATGAGAAAAGCAGTGACAAAGTTTGAGGATGACCGCTGCCAAAGCATCGCAGCTGAACGTGAAAGACAACATAGAGCTGTGTTTTCTCCTGTCCTGACAACCGGCGTCCCATGCCCTATTTGTAGCCGCATGTGTGCTTCAACCTTTGGGCTCCGGAGCCACATGCGTCTCCACAAATGAAATGCACAACATGTCTTCCTCGGCTCCCGAGAGACAACCAACAACAACTGTGTATGTTTCTTTCACTAATAAAAGATCCTGCAAGTCTGCAGAGTGTAAGGTTATGTCTGAGTCCTAGAAATGGATGAGAATGGATGCCTATAGTGAGAAAGTTACACCTGAGCTCCAGGAATGGGTGAGGTTGGATAACTATATTGAGAAGGCTATGCAGGAGCCTTAGAAACATGTGAGGATGGGTGTCTATATTGAGAGGGTCACACTTGAGCCCTAGGAATGGATAAGAGTGGGTGCCTCTAGATTCTGTGAATGACAAAGGATTTTATGCAGGTAACACCAGCACTCTGTTCTTAAGACTATGCATGCACATGCTGATTATATACATAGGCATCTCAACTTCTGGTACCCTCCAGACCCTGTTGCCAAAGATTGCTCCATTCCTCCCAACTCTCTCCCTCTACTACTGAGAAAGGTCAGGCCTTTAGTACTTATAAGTTTTTTTTTAAATTTAAAACAATTATTTTAAAAAGCTCTTCCTTTCCCTCAGCTCCAACTACAATTTATTTACCACACATACAACTGATGTAAAGGTCTAGCTAAGTGTTGCTCTATCTAAAACTTGACTGAAACAGCTAAATAAGTCTGAATGTACACTGTGTGTTATTTCAGTGCATGTTGGTTTGTGAGCCTTTCTTTCAGAATACAAAATATCCTATGCTGATTAAGTTAGGAAAATATCTACTTAAGCTAAACTGAAATAAGACTCCATTACTCTGAATTAAGACTATCAGTACACAGACTTATATTGAATTAAAACTGATTTACTTATTTTGGTACAGGTTTGTGCACAGACAAGGCCTATAAAATCCACAAGAAAAAGCCTTTTCAGTTCTATGGCTGCCAGTTAACTTTAGACTACATTTGAAGCTTAATAGCACAAAAGTCATTACATCTTGGCTGCTGTTTGGTAGTTTATGTGGAAAGAGTAGTTGGACTCAGCCTAGGACATTATGGATTTTTGTTCAAACATCACAAAACCCATAATTCACAGCTGGAACCAAAGGACTCTCTTTCTGACAGAAACCAGGAAATGAACAGATCTGGAGGCTCTCCCCACATACAGGAGGTCCCTAGCAGTTCAGAGTTGAAACAGATCAGGAGGGTAACATTAGAAAACATTACTACTTTCTGTGTTGCATCTGGTCTGAAGATTGAAATAGCATTGTAGATTGACGCATGTATTTCACTAACACTAAAATTCATTTAAATGTGTAAAAGGAATTAATGGAAAAAACATCAGATTGTTAATGACAATCTGTGCTAGTAGATGCTGCTGTGTAAATAAGATTAAATATCAAACTCTACAATGATTGTCTTTTCCTTTGAAAGGATTATGTTAAGGGCATAGAATAGTTTCACAGTATAATTGCCTTCTGGTAGCTGGTTTTCATTATTTCTGTCATGCCTCCAGGGCAGATGACGGTTTTGCGGGGCCCCGGGCAGCATACTTCCGCGGCCCCCCCCCTTTGCCATGGCGCATGCGCAGTGACACCATGCGCATGCGCAGCGGCGCCACGGCGCATGCGCGGGGCTTTCTGAAGCGCGGGGCCCGGGGCGGCTGCCCCGTTCCCCCTGCCGTATATCCGCCCCTGCATGCCACTATAATCAAACTGATACAGATTTGATTATTTTGCAAAAGCAAAATAACAGCTTAATTACTATTACTGGCTATTCTGACTTTTTAAAAAGAGTAATCAAAGAGCAATGTATATGTGTAATTACAGTAATTCCTCATTTAACGCTATACATATGTTTCAGAAAATGATCGTGTTAAGTGAAAATGTGTTATGCGGGGTCAATTTTCCCATTGAAAATAATGGAAAAGGTGGGAGTTGCGTTTCAAGCAGTGGTGTCTGTTGGGACCGGGACATAAGGTTGGGGGAGAAAGGGGACTGGGTTACAGCAGGGAGGGGAGGTGTTTGGCTCTGGGGAAGGAAAGGGGAGGATAGGGGAGGGATCTTGCAGTCGTCGGCTGGGTTTCCCCATCTGGCTGGTCGCCAGCAGCTGCACGGGGCTTCCCCTGCCTCCTTGCAAAGCGGGAGGTTCGCAGCTGGCCGCGCTGTTCCCTGGCAACCCCCTCTGGCCAGATGCCTCGCTCCCTCTCCTCTGCCCCCCCCCGCTTGCAGCCCATGACTGGGTTGCCCCAGCTGGCTGGTCGCCAGCAGCTGTGCATGGCTTCCCCTGCCTCCTTGCAAAGCAGCGGAGGTTCGCAGCTGGCCGTGCTGTTCCCCGGCGACCCTCCTCGCCGGACACAAAGAGGCAGGGGAAGCCCTGCGCAGCTGCCGGCGACCGGCTGGCCGGTCAGGGAAATCGTGTTATTGTGGGGATAGTCGTATTGTTCAAAAAATGTTCCCTAAAAAAAAAATCATGCTATCATGAAAACGTGTTAAGTGGGCATGTGTTAAGCAAGGAATTAATGTATTTCAAAAGTCCACTTCTAGAAATATATAATTTCTGACTTAATCTGTGAATAAGAGACAGCCATCAAACTTCATGTTTGACTGGGACATATTCTATTTAACAGACAGACAACAAAGCAACTTTAGAGAGAGATTTTACTTACTATTTGTAATATGGTCAAGTATCGTTTCCACCACAGATATTTCTGAAATTTAGGGCCACAGGCAGCTAATCCGTAGTACATGTACATAACAACATGAATAAAAGAATTCATTTGGGCTCCAAAAAAAGCTGTTCAGAAATAAAAAAAGAGTCCATATAGTATTATTTTTAAGCATGAAAACTCTATTTGTATTACACAGTAAAATAAAATTATCACATTTTGTACTTACAGTTTTGTAAGCACTAAATAGTAATATGCATAAAAACTGAGCTTAAGTTGAAATCCACATCTTTTGGCCTTTAGACAGGTTTGACTGTAGGCTTGAGCCTGCAAACATGTAACCTATATGAATAACTTGGTCATGTCAGGAGTCCCACTCACTTCAGTGGGACTACTCACATGATCTAAGCTACATGCATGTTTGCAACATGCAATACTATTACTTATAACAATCTCCTTTTTAAAAAATTAAAAAAACCAGTAGCACCGATATTTCAGGATTTATCTTATTATGTAAAAACAATAAGGTGTCCTATGGCACCTTAAAGACTTATAGATACATATTTGCCCTAATAAGGACATGTCTACACTAGGAATTTATTTTGAAATAAGTTATTTAGAAATAATAACTTCTGAAATAACTATTTTGAAATAAACAACAAATGGTCTAGTAGCACTTTATAGACTAACAAAACATGTAGATGGTATCATAGGGAACTATTATTAAATAAGTGTTATTCCTCATGGAAACCTGGAGTTATTACTTCGAAATAACCAGCGCCTTATTTTGAAATAATGGGCCTGGTAGTGTGGACGCTCCACTTGTTATTTCAAAATAACTCCTAGTGTAGACCAGGGCTAAGGTGCCACAGGACTCCTAGTTGTTTCTGCAGATACAGAATAGCACGGCTACCCGTGAGATCTTAAAATGTAATAATTCTTTACATTTAAGCTAACATTGGCATCTATCAGGCTAAAATTAGGTACTCCCCTCCCCAAATAATTTGCAAAAGTGTCAAGCGCCCAGCAAAGCTCATTAAAATCAATGAATTATGGTCTTCTGAAAACCAGAAATAGATATATTTCCCTATTTACATATGTATAAATATATAAACAAGAAAAAAAAGAAGTTATATATCAAGTGTAGGACCAGTGCTAATGAGGCTAATCAAGTCAGGGTGTATGTGTCTCATTCACAGCAATTGATGGAAAGATGTGAATATCAAGAGAGGGGAAACTGCCTTTGTAGAGCATTAACCAGTGTGAATCCTTATTCAATCCTAATTTGATTATATTGAATTTGCAACATGACCCCATGTCCGGTGTCTGTTGCTGCAGAAGGGCCACAACACAGACTTGCTGTGTTTCTTCTGTTAGTTCCAGGAATTGTAGAGGCTGAACAACTGGACCACAGAATTGAGCTGAGTTTTGAAATGGCCTGAGGCATAGGCTTATGGGAGTTGAGGGCACTCAGCATTTTACAAGATCAGGCCATCATAGGCTACAAGTACAAGGTATGGGATTCACTGGGAAAAGGAAGTTGGGACTACAAACTGCGCCTATTCAATGGCCATGAACTTCGTGTAAAGAGTGCAGTGACTCTGAACACACAGGGAACCCAGGATTCCTCTTGCCCTGCAGCTGGGTTAGGGAGAATTCCATTCTCCAACCCCTGTACAGAAATCTGTGATTATGAATTTCACCCCACAGGCTGAAATATGTATATAACCTCACATTTTCTATTTTAACATGCATATAGCGTGTGAACATGTAAAACATCCAAAATATACAATTTAGTATATGAATTTTAATAGAAGATTAATTTTAGTATGGATTACATGTATTATTATTGTAAATTATTTTATAGTTATTTTTATAACTCTTTACAAACAGAATAGGACATTTTCTTCCAACCTCTGCTTCAGGAGAATTTGTAAGTTGAGAGAGGCAAGGCAAAGCAAGACATGACACAGAGGAACAAAATGCAATTAAGGAAGGGTATGGAGAAAACAGTGGAAATAAGATTTCATTGATGTGAATTTTACAAGAACAGAAAGAAAGGAAAAGAATGTTAATTATAGGTTTGCATCATTATGAACAGCTTCTACAACCTGCTGCAGGCCCAGAGGCAGGGGTTGGCGGGGGGGCGGGAGGGGGCTGGGGAGCGGAGGGGAGGAGAGGAAAAGGGGCAGTTGGTCAGGCGACTTCAAAGGGCCTGGTACTCCAGGCCGCCTTCACTGCTACTGCCAATGGAGCACCACTCTACATGCTCTGTGCATCTCTGAGGTCTGGGATGTGGCACCAGGCTCTGGACGATGCAGTGAGGTTGGCTGCCTGTTGACCCTTTTCTGTCCGAGGCCCACCCCTTCTGGGAGCGCGGAGCTGCTCCCCCCCTACACCTTGCCCAGGGGCCCATGCAGGCAGTTGACTATCCTGACCTACTGACAAAGGTTTATTGCTACCCTTCTAATTAGCAATTCAGATGTTGATACTTGCTTTGTTAATAAAACAAACAAACAAAAAAACCCCACACTTGGATATAGGGCCAAATTTCCTTCTAGTGAAAATCCAGAATAGCTCCATTCCCTTCAATGGATTTAGTTTGGAGTAACAGGGCAAAACTGGCTTGTAGTTCTGAATTCCTAGTTCTCTGTAGTTGCAAATTGTTAGGTTAAAACAGGGATGTTAAGCAGTTTAAGTCCCAGGATATTAAAGAGACAAGGTGAAAAAGGTAATATTTTTTACTAGATTAACTTCTGTTGGTGAGACAAATTTATCTGCCTGCTCCCTATAGTAAAGTGATGATTTTTGTAAAGATCGAATTTGTAAAGATGGAAGCTCAGTCTTGCATTTGATGCCTGTGAGTAAAGTGTTTCGCAACTCGTAAAACTATAGTTCTAGTCTCTCCTCCTCCCCCTCACTTCACACAGAAGGAAGTTGCACTGACTAATGTAGCTGCTATGATCCGAAGCTATTTGAACAGACTTATCAGATATTACTCAGTTCACTCCATTAAATAGTCGTTTATTTCTAAATTCCAGATAGATTGTTTCTCACATTTATTTCTTTACTGACCTGAAAAAAAAGACAGTTCACTCACCTTGTCCTCCTGGAACCCACTTGATACCAATCCACCACAAAGTGAACATAGTGAAATGGTGATAGACGTGAAGGAAACTGATTTGGTTAAATTTCTTCCTCAGGATGAAAAATATTGTGTCCAGGTACTCAATTCCTTTTGAGAGGAAGTACCACCATAAAGCACCAGCTATCTGCAATATAGGAACAAAGCTCTTAATGATTCTCAAAGAAATAATAAAACGAAATGTAACTACATCAGTGTGCTGTGAGGGAGAAAGGGAAGTTTCTAATCCATTCTGAAGACAGCCCTGAATTCTGGGTTATGTGCAGCGGCAGTGGGATCACAGGTTAGGAAAAGTAATTTATGATTTCACTATTAAATGTCTGGCAACATCAGCACACTGGGCTTTTTTGGATTTTAGTCTGGCCAAGGATTAATTTTTTGTAGTTTAAGAACCATGGGTTTAAAACACTATTTTATAAACTCTCTGGCTGCGTCTAGACTGGCATGATTTTGCGGAAATACTTTTAACAGAAAAGTTGTTCCATTAAAAGTATTTCCACAAAAGAGCGTCTAGATTGGCACGGATGCTTTTGCGCAAAAAGTGCTTTTGTGCAAAAGCATCCGTGGCCAGTCTAGACGTGATTTTGCGCAAGAAAGCCCCAATCGCCATTTTAGCCATCGGGGCTTTTTTTGCACAAAACAGTTCTTCCCTGTTTACACTGGCCCTCTTGCGCAAGTATTCTTGCGCAAGAGGGCTTTTTCCCAAGCGGGAGCGTGAAAGTATTTGTGCAAGTAGCACTGATTTTGTACATTACAAAGTCAGTGCTCTTGCGCAAATTCAAGCGGCCAGTGAAGACAGCTGGCAAGTTTTTGCGCAAAAGTAGCTGCTCTTGCGCAAAATCTTGCCAGTCTAGACGCACCCCCCCATGTTTTACAATTTAGCCATCTCTGAAGAGAAGCAGTTTACTAGTTCTCATATACTTCCTCTTTATTTTAGACTCTTCTCCCACAGAGATCACGACTGAAAGACCCGTAGGCAATCGGACCAAAACTACCATATAAACCATAGTATTGAATAGGTACTGGAAGTAGGGAGGTTGGACGTGGCGTGGCATCCCCTGGTTCAAAGTGATGTCCAATTGTACACAAGATTACAAATTTGGTTCTCTGGCTCTCAGCAACCCCACTACACAAACTGTTCCAGAATCACATGCACTGTCCAGTAGTCCAAAACTGTGGTCTCGAGACCACTAGTGGTCTGCAGCTGCCTTCCAGGTGATCCGCAGCTTGAACTCAGCCCCTCTCTTCCTCCCTCCCTCCCTTTCCCCGCTGAAGAGAGCCCCTACTAGTACTCCAGCCTTGCCTCCACTCCCTTTTGCGGGAGAGGGAAGACAACCCAAGTCTTCCCGCCATATCCAGCTCGCAGGAAAGAAGCGGAGTCAAAAGCGGCTCCACATGCTGCCACTCCCCCTCCCCCGACTGGGGGATGCTTGATTTGCATCTCTTTGTCAACAGAGAGGTATAGTCTAGACACAGCCTAAGTGGTGTGTCCACACTATCAAGCCTGTTGCACCATCCATAAGTACCACTGACATCGATTTCTCTACTCCTGCTTTTCACCAGGAGTAACGTTATTCCCGATCTTGCATGGCTGAAGTGACGCTAGTATAGATGCAGTGTTGCCAGAAATTCGATGCTATTGGTGTCTGGGAGGCCTCCGTCAGTTGTCCACTCCGACCACTGTGGCCACAAGTTCCACCTCTATTGCTCTCCCATAGAGCTCAAAAATGCCCAGGGAGCAGCAGAATGATCTGTCTCACGTGGCCAGCACTGGCAAGCAAGGGGATGAGTGTTGAATTTCAACATTCCGTCAGACAACACTTCGACAGCTGAGGGTACATCTGTTTCCATAGCTTCCACTTCCCAAGGGTGCAGAAGAGCACCAGTCTGGAGTGTGCAGGAGATTCTGGACATGATCGAGCTGTGGGGAGGTGAGTCCATCCTCAATGAGCTCCGAACCAGCAAGAGGAGCTCCAAGATCTACAGCAGGATCACAAGCTGCCTTGGGACAAAAGGATACGCATGGGACACCCAGCAGTGCAGGGTAAAAATTAAGCTCAGACTGTCCTATCACAAGGCCAAGGAGGAGAATGGATGCTCTGGAGCTGCACCTTACATCTGCTTCTACTATGAGCAGCTGAATGCATTCAGGGGTGTGGCGGCCAGCTCCCACAGCATGGTCAGCAAGTTCAGACAAGATATGCCTGGCATCAATCCGCAGGAGAGCAGGGTGGCGGAAGAGCAGGAGGAGGAGGAGACTAGCCAGTCACTGATGTCTGAGAGCCAGGAGCTCATCATGATGGTGGAGCTGGACATAGAACCATAGAATATTAGGACTGGAAGGGACCTCGAGAGGTCATTGAGTCCAGTCCCCTGCCCTCATGGCAGGACCAAATACTGTCTAGACCATCCCTGATAGACATTTATCTAAAATACTCTGAAATATCTCCACAGATGGAGATTCCACAACCTCCCTAGGCACTTTATTCCAGTGTTTGACTACCCTGACAGTTAGGAACTTTTCCCTAATGTCCAACCTAAACCTCCCTTGCTGCAGTTTAAGCCCATTGCTTCTTGTTCTATTCCCAGATGTCCTTCTAGGACATCTCCCAGGCCACCGACAATCCTGGGGAGGGCACTTCTGGTGAGTTCACAAACTTTGTTTAACTACAAGCAGGTTCAGGCAATGGAGAGGCCACGTATGCCAGACCCGGCATGTGCTGGACACAGTGGGAAGCCGCCCCGCTCCTTCCCCTCCCTCCTGTCCACAGGCTGCTACCCTGGCTGGGAAAGTAGCAATGTCCTGGTGAGGCCCGGTGTGCTGGACCCAGTGTGTGCTAGACACAGCGGGAAGCTGCCCTGTGCTGCCCCTCTCCCCACCTACAAGCTCCTGGCCTGGAAGGCCCCTTACCATGCCTGCCTGTCTCTGGACCGAGTGTGTCCGATACTCCCCTGAGACACCTGGCACCTGCTGTAAAGTGCCCACTTTAAAGCAAACATTTGGCTTTGCACAGAAAACTTCTCCACTGTCTTTACAGAGACCTTCTGTGTATGTGAATAGATTAGGTTTAGAATTCACACAATGTATCTCTTCTAATATCTGCCCTTGTAACTTTTCTTTGCAGCTGGGCCAGCTGCCAACTCAGTACATCCTCTAGCTCCTACAGTATCTGCCTGCCTGGTGCAGATTGGCAGGTGAAAGCAGACAAGAAAAGAGATGTTCCGCAAGCAGATGAACTTCATGCTCTCACTCGTGCAGGAGATCTGGGCTAAGCACCAGAACAGGATTGTGAAGCAACAGGAGAGGAGAGTCACCTGGGAGCAGCTCTCGAGGCAGCACGAGACAATGCTTTCCTCCCTGTCTACTGTCATGGAGCACGTGGCAACCTGCCTCAAATGGGCCACCTTCCAAGAACCTCACCTGCCCCGATCACACCCCCGCACATTCCTGCATTTGCTCAGCCTGTTATTGAACTCCTCCTTGCTCGGGTCCAGGCTGTCTGTGTAGGTCTTCATGAGCCAGGGGAGCAAGGGGTAGATTGGGTTGCCAAGAATCACTATGGGCATTTCTACCTTTCCGACTCTGATGTTCTGATCTGGGAAAAAAGTGATGGTGTGCACCTTTTGGAAGAGGTAGGAGTTTCGAAAGATACACGTGTCGTGCATCTTTCCTGACCATCTCATGTTGATGTCAGTGAAATGGTCCTTGTGATCCATGAGCACCTGCAGCACCATGGAGAAGTATCCCTTGCGATTGATGTACTCCAAGGCATGGAGTCAGTGATTAAACTGGCAATGTTAATTTCTTAGACCAACCCTTTTCCCCAAAGCATTCAAACTGGCTTTGCTGCACTGTGTATCTCAGTTCTTTTTTTTATTATCATCTTAAACCATTTGAAAATGACTGATGTCCTTCCTATTTAGTCACAGATAGACTGAGAAAATTTCATGGCCAATGTCAATGTTAGAAAATGCAGACTGAAGATAATAGTGCTGTAGCATATAATGAAGTGCATATGGTAGTTGTTTCTTTTTTGTACAAAGGAACTGACACTAAAAGAGACTGTTAGGAAAGTTTTGAGGGCAACTGCAAACTTCATCACACTTAATCCAGTTTAAACAGGACTTCAAAGCAGCGATGCAGCACAATGAAAGTCTGTGATGTAGACAAGCTGCAAATTTGTAAGTTCTGACAAAAAAGTTTCAACGCACAACTGACAACTTCATTCAGGTACTGGCTCTACTGCCTCTTCAGACTCAACCTCAAACTGGTTTTCTTTTATGAGGACTAGAAACTCATGTTGCTAGAACAGTAGATTCCACTTTCTAGCAATCCAAATGTTAACTACAGATAATAGCAATATTTTCCCAGGAATAAATCCCAACCCAGTAAGTTTGTTATTAATGAAATTTGGATATTGATAATAGCATGCCACTTACTAACTATATTATTTGGAAGAAAGGCCACAAATACAGGCAGATTCATAAGGATGAAGTCAGGAAATGCACACCCCCGCAATTCCTGTGCTGGCTGCAATCTCACACCCTTTTCTTTCACTTATTAGCAAATGACAGATATTGGCAACTTTTTTCTGGCAACTAAGGGATTACTCACAAGTAGAATATACTGTATTCAGAAGTAGCAAGCACATTTTCTCTGATACCAAATTCAAAATAGTGACATAACATCCCAACAAATGTTTTCAAGTAGCACAACAGATCTACGCGCAGCTGTTTAATGTATGTCCCTCTTCTGTAGCTCAATGTTGGTTGGCAGGAACTGATGAAGCACTGTATCTAAAAGCGTGCCGTGACAGCCATCTCCAATTGTTCCATTTTCTTCTGAAGATAAGCTGCATTTAAACAAGTTGCAGGAGACTGATTTGTATTTTTCGAAAGATCTTCCAAGGCTTTTTGAATAGTAATATACTTTTGACACAATGGCTTGGTAGAATTGGCACAATTATGCCACTCAGTATTTGACAACCTTTTAGAGTCAACAATCTCTGGCTAGTGTCCGTATTTATACTGTGGAAAATGGATTTCTAGCTATAGGTTGAGGAAAAGCAGAACAAGTAGAGTGACTGCATAACCCCCTCAAAATGACTACATCTGAGCAACTGTTAA